CAAAAGCTCACCAAGAGAAAATTTCATGTTGGTCTCACAGGGAAACCAAGTTTAGAAAAAAAAAGGCGATGAGCCTTCTTTTAGCGAATTCGGCCACCGCGAAGCCGCGTGTACGGATGAGTCAGGTGAGTTAACATTTTTGTAATGAGCCGCCGCAGACTGCCGCCGGCGAAGCGGCGGGAGCGCAGCAGGGGGCTTGGGTTAACACGCGCACCAGTGATACACGCGTGAAGTAGAAAAGCCTTTTTTAAATAGCGTTCCCTTTTTGATAAACGGTATATCTCTAAACTGAGGCTCTGGTTTCTCTAAACCGGGCTTCAATAAAACGTGCCCGTTCTCTAAAAAATGTTTCGACGAAATGACATTCGATCTACCGTAGTAAACCCTTGCGTAGGATGAGGCACAAGTTCACCTAAAAATGGTGCAATGTCCATCGCGTCCGCATTTTAGTTCAGCCCGTGTTTCGCCCGGGTAGCGAAAAAAAATCAGGTGAGCTTTTGTCCGGGTGTGTGAAAAAACGGGTGAGCTTTTGTCCGGTGAGCTTTTGTCCGGTGAGCTTCTGTCCGGTGAGCTTTTGTCCGGTGAGCTTTTGTCCGGTTACCATTGCTGCTTAACCCCCCCCCCCCTCGCCCCCCCCCCCCTCCAAAAAAAAAGTAATTTCTTTTTGCCGTTGGCGTCCATTCTTTAGTCTACTTATTATCTCGAAGGATTGCCAATACAGAGTCTGTCAATGTTAAAGGACCTGGGTGTGTGTCTTGACAGCGCTTAATATTTTAGATATCATGTGTCGTGGGTCGTGGGCAATGCTTTTAGTGTTAGGGGTAATTTCTCGTCTGACGCGTAATTTCAGAAACCCTCATTCATTTAAATCTGTAGTGAGGTCGCGACTCAAGTTTGCTTCTGTCGTATGGTTGCAATTGACGTAGTTGATTCGGCGCAACACTTGCGAAAGTGAACTTTCACATTCCATTCCGAGTAAACAGATACCGTGTTTTGATGTTCGCTCACCATGTAACACCTCAGCTCTCTCACGGATTCGGTCAATGTATAATACCTTCGCTCCACCCCACCTTGACATATCTGCATCAATTTCTATATACCGTCACGATTAGAATGATATCATTCTAGCCCTTATCATTATGTTAGTGTTAGATGGTTTATCTTTTTAGTGAGCGTGTTTAGAGCCGATGCATTTACTGGCTGATTTTGTTTGTTTGTGTTGGTGCACCAATGAGAAGACCAATGTGGTTGTTTTGGGGCACCCAAAAAATAAAAAAAATATTATTATTATTATTATTATTATTATTATTATTATTATTATTATTATTATTATTATTATCTCTATCACGAAAAATCACACTTCTCCTAAAGATGCAACCTGGTGCTTTGTTTGCAAAACAAATTAGGATGCTTATACTAGCAAAAATTAGCAGTTTTATTTCGATCTATCAATCAAACTATCCCCCTCAGAATTCGCAACTTTCAGCGACAGTGGTACCACGGTGTGAGAATCGCGCTTCCTACCTCCTGGATGATCGGCCTCATAATAAAGGTGCCATTTTACACCTTCCCGGCGTGAAAAAATAAAGTGGGCTCTGATACTGCTTGCATCAAAACTAGAATTACTTACGCGTCACACACCCCGCCTCGTACTGCTGTTTTACGAGGATCATACAGAGGACAGCCACTTTGATAGGTGCCAGCGCGCCCCCTATAGGTCGTGAAAGTTGCGAATAATGCTTTATGAGGAACGCAGCAGACGTTAATTTCGGGCTTAGCCTTCCAGGCAAGCAACACCGCGTCTAGCGTCGCTACATCCCCCTTTTGCACCGTTTCTTTTTTTTTTTTATATATATTTTTGCGGTTGGTGGAGTCTTTTCGAAGCGCTTTATGGCGAATTCCACTGGGCGTTTTGGAGCGCGCCGGGATCAGCTGACCAGATCCGGAATGGAGCACACGATCCGAACGGGGTCGCACCCCCTACGGATCCCCAGTGGAATATGACCACTACTCCGGGATCGGCGGATGCCTTCCCGTCATTCACCTGCCCGGGAATCCCCTTTCTGCAGCCGCCACGGTCGTTTCGAAGACGTTTTCGCAGTCGCGGCGCTAACACGTGTTCGACGCACGAGCCGCAGGAATGGCTTAGGAGCTTCTAGCAAAGATTTCCGGAATGCCGGAAGCTGCTCGAGCAACTTGACGACGAACTGTCGTCAAGCAGCAGCAGCAGTAAGGCGGGCGGCACAGGCGGCGCCTCCCGAGCGGCCATTGCGAATTCTTCTGAGCCGAGATGGGCGAGATCAGGCGAGATGCCCCGGAAGAAAGAAAGTCACGTGTGTGCGCCGAGGGCTGGCCCGCCTGGTTGCCGGTCGAATCCGCCGAAATCGGCGGAGCGACTTTTCTCGGATCCAAATCGAGATCTGGAGTGGGAGCTCATCCAAAACGACAAGTGGAATTCGCCATTAGAGTCTTCCTTCTTGCTTCATCAGTTTTCTCTTGTTTTCTTTCTTTTTCTTGTGTGTTCGGCCGGCGGAGCATGCGGCTCAGGTGTTCGGCAGGCAGCCTGCCACGCCGCAATACCTTTTTTCAAGATCAAATCCGAGTTAGCATTAGCGTAAGAATACAATTTTGCATTAAAAAACGTTCTTGCGTGTTTGTTTTTACGTGTCTCTAGATGTCCAGAACAAGTTGACTGTAATCTTCCTTTGGACGGTCCTTCTACCTGAGATTCGAGCTTCGTTATATGTTTAGTTAGCTATTTATTTGTGTATATTTCTGTTTTTTTGTTTTTTTTTTTCCTAAGCGTTAGGATGATTTTGTTCTCCTGCTCACGTCCCGTTCTGAATCCAGAAACGACGACACCCAACTCATCGGAAATGAAAAGGCGACGTTTCAGAAATAAGAACAAAAACGAAAAAATAGGGGGCGTTCTCGCCGATTCCGAGCGACTGACAGGTGTGGCCGTTTGTCTTCCTTTGTATTTATCAGGCAGTCCCGGATGTCCACTCCGGGATATTCGATCAGTCACGCGTGTAAAAAAATCCAACCGTACACACGCACACACACACACACGCACGCACGCACGCACACACACCATTTTGCAGTTGAGCGTGCCGTTCGTGAGAAAGTGCGGTATTTCAGGGTAATGTTTCACCGCACTCCTTGAAGGTGTGAGATAAATGTTCCCTCGCGGGTAAGAAAAAAGAAAAAAACATTTTCTTTTTTGTTTTTATGCTGAGGGCGATGACAAAAGACCACACAAATTTGGAGGTACAAAATGTGCCGGAGCTGCTAGTTATAAAAATGGTAAAGTTCTGACACCTTGAAAAAAAACTACTCTATCTCTTACGGCTGTCGTGCCGCGCATAGAAATATCGCGATTAATGACACTAGCAATATTTTTATCGACGTGTAAAAAATAACAAAAAAACGAAAAAACAAGAAAATGTCGCAGGCAAACTGTCTGGAAAGAAAATACAACTAGGAATAAAATGAAACCGCATATCTAAAGAGGATGAACAACGCAGACCCCGCGAATTAGTGTGGGATTGCATCTACACTTGTTTTGCCCCCTTTTTGAAGCGTTCTGAATGGGAATTATATATCAGAAACAGCCGTCACACCGCTCATAATTGTGTTTTCGTTGTCCGTCCTTAAAAAAAATAAAAAAAAAGCTTTTAATACAGGTTTACGCAGAATCATTTATGAACTACAGAAAACTTTAATCGAGAAAACGGTTCGCTGACTTCGGTAAGTAAAAAGAAAACTCAGAAAACGTTATAAATTGCATTATTTTAACATTTATGATGTGACGGAAACCAGCTACAACGAGTGTGAATTGTATTGTGATTGAAACAATTTTTTTTTTTTTTTTGCCCTCTTAAAGAAATGAAACGGAAGGCATGCATGAGTCGGAGCGTTTCCGCGATGCAAGTAGTCGATAAACAGCTTGAACGTAAATTGGAACATTCGATTCTTCTAGTAGAAGCCGCAATTTCGGCCGTTGAATATGTCTTGTGATAATTAAGAATGACACGTGCTGTCGTTAGAAAACACCGAAACCACGTGAGAAGGAGGAGGGTACAAGAAGTTCAAACCATGCGCCATGAGCCTAACATTAGTTATGGCACAGGTTGCAACCCCCCCCCCCCCCCCACACACACACACACGCACACAATGGCTAGTCGTCAGGCGACAAAAAGCATATCTATTTTAAAAGCGGGACATTTCACGTTTAGCAGGACCAGAACTTTACACCACAACAAGGTAAAACAATCATTGAGCCTCGTAATGGCCAGCATCCCGTAAAGTGCGACGTATATTTTACCACTTACTTTTATTTATTAGGTCGCTCTTATATTTTTTCTTTGCTCGTGTACTCTTGTGTCCCAAGTATGTTTAAACAATAAATACCCAGCGCAAAAAAAAAAAAAAATTAAAAACGACATTTTCATATTTTTTTACTGAATCATTACCAAGGCGTCAGTTGTCCATGAGCACGTAAAATAAACAAAAATGAATTAGCGACTAAATGAATGAGTATATAAATTAATTACAAAATAATTAATTACTCAATGAGTTAATAATTATTTCATTAACTAGCTAACCGATTTAATTAACTGGTTCATACGGCGACAATATGACAACCAAAGGAATACTCGGTCAAATAAAGCGTGGTTCCATTACTCTCGTACCTCGGTGAGCGGGCAGTCGGCACAAAGGCGACTTGGCCTAGACACAGGGGCGACTGAAATATGAGACCGGGGTATGCGAGCACAATAAACGGCTAGCGGAGTACACAAGCGGAGCAGAACTGAGCGACGTAGAAAAGAACTAAAAGAGCGAAAATAATAACAGGGAGAAAGAGAGGGTGCACGGAGGGAGGAGGGAGGGGAACGGGGGAGGAGGGGCACCGCGGTCGGAGTTTCGGGGTTCCTCCCGGCAAAGGCCAGTGTGCCGGCATCGTCGTCGGAAGCCCGGCGTTGCGCCCACGTGTGCGGCGGCGGCCTCGGAGCACGAAACCAGCCCCGGCGTCCGCGGCGGCGTCCTCCTCCTCGGGGTTCGGGACGCGGGGCTCGGGACGCCAGCGGAGGGCGACGAGGAGGCAGCGGCTGACACGTTGGAGCCGCCCGGAGCGAGGCTCCATGGAGAAGCGCGCAACGGGGGCAGCGTCACGTGAGTTTCTTTTCCCCGGAACACGCTGCCACGTGCTCGTACACTGCGCGACACCCTTATGCCGGAGTCCCCCTAGAGCGACAAACAGAAACAAGAGACAGGGACAAGCCTCAAACCAGAGTCGTCCGCGATTTGACAGGCTTTGTAGAATAAAGGAGGCTCTGCTCAAATATGAGAACACTGTAATACGAGCATCATGCACGCGAGGGTATCTTTGGCGGGCTTGCAATCTCGCTCGTGCTTACTTCAAGGGCACTGAACGACTAAACGCCTGCCAAAAGTACCATCGCGAGTACGCTGCATGTGCTGGAGGCCTGTCGCAGCCGGTTGTTTTTGTTTGTCGCCCCAGTGGGACTCGGGCATTATTAGCCCGAACACGAGCAATTCTTCGCACTTTATTTCGAAAGGTTATCTAACGGGCATAAGGGCAGACAATGAAGTTAAAACGAAAAAAAAATAATAATCGGTGACCGTTTCCGTTAGCGCACTGGAAATCGGAGAACGTGGATCGAAAGCTCGCGCTGCAGAAACCGCGGAGGTTTGTGTTCAATCCCCACCCCTGCCCGTTTCAATCTGGATGAGCATCGTACCGGCGTGCGGTCGTGCATCACTACTGCGTGAATGCACGTTAAAGGACCCAGGCTAGCAGTCGTACCGCACCGCTAAATTTCTCATCAACGGCTCTAACACCAGACGCCTATTGGGGGTAACTGGCCCTCTGTCTACACAAACATATAACACAATTACTTTTTACTGGTGGGCATCAAAATTTAGCAGTTAGGTTAGAGTCCCAGGGGAGCACTTTCCACCACTATAGTAGTTGTGATGAGAGTCCTCTAGTATTGTGAGAATAACAAAGAACAAAAATGAAAGCCGTTTACAACTCTCTGTAACTCCGAATTAGAGCGCAGCTCTTGAGGAAAAGGAGGGCAGGGTAGCGAGGGGAAGGTATATCCTTCCTCCCTCCTCCTCACCTCCTCATCCTGTCTGCTACTCCTTCCTCCGAGCGGCGTCGCCGTCGCCGTCGGCGTAACCGTAAGGTCACGTGACCTCAGGATTACGCCGACGGCGACGTTATTCAGATTCACGGGATAAATAGAAACTTTAGAATTCACCTTACGTCGTCTTGATCGTTTTTCTATTTTTTGTATATCTTCACCCTCGTCCGTTCTTCTTACTGGGGGGGGGGGGGGGGGGGAGGGAGGAGTACTTGTGTTTGAGAGCTAAATATAAATTGCGAATTGTCAAGCTCCTCATTGTACTAACCCTGTCCGTCCCAAAATAAAAAAAAAGTATCTTAAGACTTTAGATTGCGGCGTTATGAGTCATGCGCAAAGTACATAAGTAGTATCCTTCCTTTTTTTATGAGGCATCAAGAGCAAGAAGAAACGATGCTTTCATCGTCTATCTTTTGCGTGTTTTATGCAGAACGTGCCTAGTTAGTAGATGAATTAGCATATAAGCTACTTTCGAAAAGCTTGCGCTAATACCATAAACAAAGAGAGCCTCGATCACGAGAATCGGTGGTGAGGTTAGGCGCAAGGTGACAACCTTCTCCCGTCCACCGATAAGCTGGCAGACATCATGGTTGTAGTACTCCTAGCTCTATCTCTCCGAAGTGTTTTCCCTCGATAATTACCTCGTCATCGTCCTGGAAACGCTTGCCACGCAATGTTTCCTTCATGAGAGGAAGAAGGCAGAAGTCGCTGGTGCCAAGATGGGTGAATATGGGGGCAGAGGCAGAATTTCATAACCCAAAGCAGATGCATATCCGTCACCGGTGCGTTCTCCTGAAGCAAATGCACTCCCTTCGTCAGCTTCCCGCGATGCTTCATGGCCTCCTGTAACCAAGCCAAGAGGTCTCAAATAATCTGTTGGCAGCCCACCATTGCAGTCCCAAGAACGCTAATCATCACCTTCCCCCATTGCGATTCCGCCTTCGCCTTTTTATTATGCGTTGAATTCGCATGTTTTACTGTTCGCTTTGTCCCTTTTGTCTCGGGGTTGTAATGGTTGTCCAGCGCTCATTCATAGAGATTGGCAGCGATAAAAAAACTCGTCAGGGTCGGCTTGGCCAAGCTGCACAATTTCCGCTGCAGATTCCTTTCGGCGTTGTTTTGGCATGGGCGGGACTTGTGAGCAGTCCCTCCGCACCGGAACCTTCATCATGCGCAAATCACTTTCCACGTGGAAATCAACTTGGGCATCGTAGAAGAGAAACCTCTTTGGACGTGCCGAGTCTACAGGGCTCTTCCCGCACCGCAAATTTTGGTGGTATGTTTACATACCACCAACATATTCGTAAAGTTAACACGAACTTTACGAACGTCACTCGCAATGCAATAATGAACCAATTAAATTGTTGCATAGTTATTCACTATTTCTAGCTGTGTTCACGGGAGAGCTCAAAAGTCATGTAAGGTAAAGTCACGCTGAAACTTTCTAAGTTCAGGCCAGAGGCGTATTCTATGTTAGAGGTTGACGCTGTATAGCAGAAAAGCACGTGAAGAGCAAGGTCTTCACGCGCTCCCAAGCTAACCTTTTGTGAATATTTTTTAAGCAACCCGTTTTGAGCCATAATGTTAATGTTACAAAACGTAGGGGCTCGGTTCTAAAGACGTGGATGAGAATAGCCTACCGACATTAATTTTCCTTGCACGTTTCACATAGCATATGCAAACTCGAGGTTTGCCCAATTATAGTGATGCGATTAGCCCGAGTAATTTTGTAGAACCTTTTGGAGTAGCCAAACGTCCATAATGGAGCTGCAAAAACTACCTTTGGAGCACAGGCACGCGCTTAATTTTTATTCATACCACTCTGAATATTATATGTTAAGAATCGTGTCCAACTGTCCAACTATCCAACTGAAAAAAGTGCATGCTTTACAATTCACAATTTTGTGCTACGGCAGGTTTGATTTCCGCAAACACAGAACTAGCTGTTTTATTGCACATAGAAGTTCTAGGTATGGTCGGAAGATGCTAATCGATGAAGGACAGTATAGACTGCAGTGAATGGTCACTTTAGGTACGAAATCAAATGTAAACTAAATAGTATATTCTACTAAAATAATGTTACAATAATCTTCAGCACACGAATTGATGTTTCATTCAAGTTCTAAAGGCTGTAATAAAACAAAAATTGTTAATTCAGATTAAAAAAAATATTTTCATTCAATTGATATTTTATGACATTTTGTATGTAGATACTCATAATAACAGACGTCGGCATGTGAGCGATAGGTATAACTTTTTAAAACAATCCAGCCAAAGTCGTTCAGCTTATTTCCAAGCTTTCTTCTAGTGCTTCCCCTAATTTAGTTTTTATTAATTCTATTAACTTTACCTCGAACGGATTAAACATATATAAAGGTGACAACTAAACAACAGAGTTCAAATAGAAATAAATCTATAGAGCAGATCATACAAAGTTTCTTGCAAATATCCTAAGTCCCGAATTTGAATAATATATCGTCAGAACACCACAGTCTCTCATAAATAATAGCCGCAGTTTAATTAAAAAAGTTTAACTGCAACTAAGAGCTGTTAAATTAACACTCACAAAGTTTTTTTTTATTTTTTTTCGTAATATGTTATATTAGACTCTTGGGTGTTTAACGTCTCGATATGAAGGAATGGTTTCTCTTTTGCACTCGGATGCACTGCGGCAAAGCAATACATACAAACTGCGTTGCTTACTTCGCGGTTGCCGCTTCACTGCAGTACACAAGAGCGCGATGAGAAGCGCACTTAACAAAGCTAACAAGCCTGAGCGGACTGAACTCTTAGAAGAGAGGGTTTATAATAGTCATCCCTAAAGGGACGAACGAACTTGTAGCCTATGTTCCTTCAGAAAGCGAGAAACTTTCGTCCCTGAAAGTAGGGGAGCAAAACTTCCTCCGTCGTCTGCATCTCAATATGGCGGCCTCGAATCAAGCAAATCGAGCTCAATAATGCTTACAGAGGATGCTGCGTCTAGTGTACGGAGCAATATGAGCAGCAAATAAAAGCGTTACATGTGCTTTCTGCGAATTGTCCTTATTTCCGAAGCCAGGTTCCCCCCGTAGGTAAATAAACTTGAATTTTGAAAGCAGTCACTCCGTCTTCTCGTCGTCGACACTGCGATGTTAAACGGAGACAACCGATACCCAGTTACTTCGCGCACTTTAACGTCTTACCTTTGCTATTCCTCGAGCCACATTACCTTTTTCAGCACCTTACATCACGGAGGAGTTATAAACCATTTGCGAAACCAAAAGCCACTCTCAAAAGGGTAAATTCGAAGCAGCCTGGCTCATTGTTGCACGGTAACCAGAAATTATCGCGTGGCGAATCAAGAAAGACGGTTAAATTGCTCGCCACCAGATGGCAGGGTTAAGCACTATAATCAGTCTAATTGTTCAAGTAGCTAGGCAGGTGGCGCTAGTTACCGCCGAATTCATGTGCTACAATTTTTTTTCTTCAGTTCCTCACGTCATTTTTGCCCTTCGGGCACCTTTATTATACCGGTATGTAGATACATTACGCGTACCAGAAACATCATCTGAGTATATACAACGAGCGTATACACATACACGGCACATACAAAAATCAATACAGCAGCGCGTACACTAACCGGATTACTAGTTAACGAGCTCTGCCCTTCCACCTTTTATACTCGACGTTTTGAAGTTACGGATTTTCTCAATGAGCCCCTAAGCAATAAATAATATTCCCAGCATGTCGACTTTTTTTTCAATAATGTCCTACATCTGAAAGTATTTTGGACGATTCAGGGGATGAATCTCTTAGTAAAAAGTAAACGATCATGCCGTAATTATTTGAAATTCAATTAAACAAGCCGCTGCACTGCGGTTCCAAGACATCTGTTTTGTTTTTGTTTTATTTCCGCTACCAACAAGTCGTAACTATAGTCGGTTACAAGTCAAGAAGGTAGGAGAAGCTCCTCCCACAAGTGTGATCCGCCCGTTTTAAATCCCTCCGCAGCCGAAAGAAGAG